TGAACATGACAATGAGTTCACTGTACTCAAATGGCCTCCACAGTCACCAGGCTCAATCCAATAGAGCACCTTTGGGAATAGGAGATTTACATTATAGATGTGCAGTTGACAAATCTACAGCAACTGCATATGGACCAAATAGGGACCAAAATCTTAGGAATATTTCCAATACCTTGTTGAATCTATGCCATGAAGGATTAAGGCAGTTCTGAAGGCAAAAGTGGGTCCAACTCAAGACTAGTAAGGTGTACCTAATAAAGTGGCTGATGAGTGTACACAGTCAGTGCAAACCTCTCATCTGCATCTTTAATCTTCACCAGCGCATGTAACCTCTTGTTGAAAAGCAATTCCGTCATTTCATGAATATCATGCTCCAAAAGGCGATAATAATAATTAGACATCAGTTTATTCGTGTTTTGGGTTGCTGAACAAGTAATTTGTTCATTTGTTTTTTCATGTTTGTATGTTTCTCAAACAATGTGAGAAGCCGCAGTTCAGTAATTTTATTATTAGACATGAGCTCCAGTTCATTATTTCAACTATAGAAGCAATACTTCTGCATTTGAATGTTCTTTGAAATATTTGGGATAATGTAAATACACAAGTCTACAAAATATGTAATGCTGTTCTAGTGGTTTAAAGATTTTCATGCAAAAATCTTACATATTGTGATTTTAACTCAATAAAAGCAAGCATTCACATTATATTGTCAGACCTGTGCAGATAATGGCAAGTATTTAGTCATCTGTATAAATGTTTCTGTTCCTGTAGGGAATGGTGGCGGTGTCGGGCAGTCTTTCGGTTCTGTTAGACTCTATTCTATGTGCTCTTGGTCCATTAACCTGCTTAACAGCACAAGTTCCGCAGCTCAACGGCTGTCCACGAAACATTCTGGTGAGACACTTGCACAAACGGCTGCTTTTTTTTTTATACAAAAATGTTCTTTTTTCTTCACGATATTTTTTTTATTGCAATTTATTATGTAAAGTTTATTATTTTAACTGTTTTCATGATCCTTGTTTTTGCAGTCAAATACTCTGGACAACATCGCTTACATAATGCCTGGACTATGAATCTTTTTAAAGGCACTTTTAAGAGACTGGGTAACATTTGGACACATTCCCACAACACAGGACCAGACAGAGTTGTTGTTGTTTGTTTGTTTTTTTTACTTTTTTTGATCGACGGACATTCTTTGTCTATGACATGTTTTTAAAAATAGTATTTAAAATGTTAGTCTTTTTTTAATGTTGTAAAAAAAAAAAAGAGATACTATTTTAGAGAAGACTTTTGAGGTTTCTCTTTTGTGTTTGTGTCAGCGTCTCAGTATCTGTGCTAAGATCTGTTTGTGAGTGTGGTCTAATTCACATGCTTTCATAATGTCCAAAACATTTTTTGTTTGTTTTATACTGATATGTGCAGTTTTCATTTTAGGACCAAATGCTATTTTTTTCTAATTTAACATTGATTGTTAATTTATATCAACAGCAGTTTGACTGCGCTGCCATTGTTTGATGTCTTACATATTGTATTTTTGTAATGTAAATGTTGTAATAATAATAATATTATAGTTTTCAACTTTTAGCATGTTTACAGGACAAGCATGTATAAAATCATTTTAAAGTTACATCAAGTCTTTATTATTATTTGTAAAGGGACATTTCACCTAAACATTTAATTTTCTGTCTTTTATTAATCTTTAAAGCATACAAAAAGTAACTGACTTTTTTTTTTGTCAGGAGAGCTATAAAGAAGGTATGTTATAGGTAATAATAATAATTCCTTACATTTATATAGCACCTTCTGTACTCTCAAAGAGCTTAATTGGGGGCCCATGTGACAGTTGCGGAGAGCTAGCTGCTGGCTAGTCGATAATGTCTGATGAATAATATTCTTGATGTATTTCTTGCACAGTCTGATCGTTTCACTTAACAGTTATGTGCTGTTAGGGATGTTTTCATCCACTCTGGGGTGATTTTGAGTTTTTACTTGGCAATAACTTTTTCTGTGTTTCAGCTAGTATAATGATTTTTGGTGACGCATCTTATTTTGACATGTTTTTTAGAAAAACTAAACAATATTGTGGGCAAATCTACTACACTTATGTTAGGGATAAAAACATCCACTGAATTAAACTGCTGTAAAAATGCTTATTTTTGTTAATTTGTTTTGCAAAAATCTGTTAATCAACCTTCTAACCTGTTAATCAAAACTAAAAAAACTAAATTGCTTAGTAAATTACAGGATTTTAACTCTTTAATTGCCAAATTCATAAATGATGTCACTGATTTAGTGGAAAAAAACAAAATGACGTATTTTCAATATAATAGGTAATCGTGGACTGGATTTTTTTTTTTTTTATACCTTTTATCAAAGTCTTGGACACGACAACATTGTCTTTATTACAAAATCATGCCATCAAATAATCATGCATTTTTGATTGTTGGTGGTTTTTCTGATGGGAAGAGGTCAAGAGGTCACCCAATCAGTGACATCATTTGTGAACTTAGCAATTTAAGAGTTAAATTCCTGTAATTTTTAAAAACATTTGGTAGTTTCGATCAGGACTGAGGTTGATTAACAAAAAAAATGTCTGATGCATTTTTACAGAAGTTTAATTTAGTCGATGTTTTCATCCACCCCTAACATAAGAAAAGGGTAGTACATTTGAACAGTGCACAAGGGTTAAAAATACTCAGTGTATTGTTAGGAATCATGGATATTACTTTTGTTTTGCTAGTATGATTTTTTTAAGTACCAGCAACTATTTATTTGCATTCTATAAATCACCAAGAACAATTATTTCAGCTAAAATTAATGTAAACGTAAATACCAATGTAAAAATCTTGAAGTGACAAACTTGACACCTACATCTTGGATGGCCTGTGGGTGAGTAAATATAGGGGGTGGGGGGGGGTGGGGGGGTGATTTTAAATGAGAGAATGTGCGAGTAGTTTTAGATGGATAAAAGAATATATTTGCATTGAAAAATGGGAATTTCGCAATTAAATGTTAAAAATCGTAAAAGTTTTGTGGCGTATTAGTCTATATAAATGTATTTGATATTGATATTAAAGAATAACTACATTTTTGTTGTTCACATTGGTTATTATAACCATGTTTTATTAGAGGGATAGCTTACCTTAAAGGGGACCTATGGTGAACATCATCTTTTGGAAGCTGTTTGGACAGAACTGTGTGTAGGAATAGTGTGTCCACAGTCATATTGGGATGATATAAACACAATAATGTCCTAACAATAAAATAGGATCCAAATCTATCCAATTTAGAGGCCCACCGCAGTGCATCGTAGGAGTGCGAGTTCCCCACCCACCGACTTGATTGACAGACGCATATTAACATATCTCCATAGTTATGCGTATAATCATATCAACCAGACAGGACATGCGCAAAGCAACTAGGATTAAAAGATTTGTTCAGCTCACTGTGATCATCAATCATCATCAAATGTGATTGAGTTTTGCAAGTTAAAAACGTTTTTAAAATGGTGCATGTTTGTAATGAATTGCAGTCTTTATCACAACAGCCGCATTTCAGTACAATTATAAAAGAAGACGGTTTAATAGGGTATATGCAAAAAGGACATTTAATTTGTCAGTAAGCTAGGTCAAACAATTCCGGTGAACTGTATGCCGTTACAAAATTGACGCGTTAAAGATCTGTTTTCCTTAAAAATCAACAATCTTCACTACCTAGATGATATAAGCTATAAAGTGGGTCTCAGAATGTACAAGAAGCACTGCATTAAATTACAAATTTAAATTTATTTTACTCCAGTTTCCAATGGCATTTCTGCGCTAACCTGCTGATCCTGATAGGCACGTGTGAGCTTTTTATCTCGGTTTACGCTTTAACAACTAAATAAACGATAAAGTCTATTTAACTGATTATATTTTAATTACATTACAACATCTATGCTGTAAAATAACCGTATAAAATTGAAAAAGTCACATTAACCATACACCGGAAGTATATCAGTATGAGAGGAAACACTAGCTCTGCATATACCCTATTCTGGTTTGTGGACACTGAATCAAGTTTATTTTGTACATTAACATAACGAATATCCATGCAGCACTTGATTTTAACCTGTATCCTGTCACATTTGCCATGCAAAAATAGTGGAATGTGTGTGTATGTGTGTGCATGAACTTTGTAATGACATTATGTGTGACTCATCATTGCAGAAAGGCTTGAATTAACTCCACAACAAATACATGAAATTATAACCATTGGGAAAGTTCTTACTGTACGTTACAAAAGATCTGCTTGCTTCGTGTCTGTAACTATGCTGTTTATCACGCAGCCAAGGCGGAGATTGAGGCACACTCTGACAGTAACGTGGGAATGGTGGGCAAAGAGAACTAGCATTAAAGGCACAGGCAACAAAAACAGCTACGTTGTGTTCAGAGCAGAAAATTCCAATATTCTGAAAGGTATAATAAATGATAGGTGTTTTGAGCTGAAACCTTACAGACTGATTCTGGAGACACAAAAGACTTATATTAAATATGGAAAAGGAGAAAAATAGGTGCTCTTTAAAATATAAAACTTAAATATAGAAGTCAACATCTGATGCTGTCTTGAAACTATTAAACAACACCCATTACGGCCTAAGGCAATTTTGAAAAACTATTTTGATCCACTTCACTTCAAATGTCGACTACTGTACACACACATTGTATCTATGAGTAAAAAATAAAGTCATTAGGGGTTAATAAGTGCATTTGTAAAGCCTCTGCAACCAAGAAATTCCTGTATTGCAGCTTTACCAAGAATCCTTAGTCGTTCTAAGAATAAGCTACACTGTGAAATTTGCCTATAGAAGATAAAAAGTGAAAAGATAAAATGACAACAACATTGACCAAGCAAATGTGTAAGTTATCAGTAGATTTAAAAAAAGAAAACAGCTCTTAACTTGCTCTGAGTATAAAAGCACTATAAAACTAGCCATTTATCCACAATGGATGTGAAAACCACACACAGACACACCTTCAAGAATTATTTGTAAAAGAGGAGTGATTCAGAGGCAGAAAGAGCATCACATGTTCAGACAGAGCCACACAGCCGGCAGTGTTTTGCTTGAACAGCAGGAGGAGAAACAGGAAGTGCAGAGAAACACAGAGCAGCTCAGTAACATACGGTACTGCTCAGACCAGTCTTTCTCTTTAAGGTAATTCTACATTGCACATATAAGTTGAACACTCATCTTTTAGTGTGTACTTGTGCTGTTTGGAAGCGGTTTACCCAGCTGAGCTTGGTGAAGTAAGTTTGTTGTGGTTTCTCTCTGCTGACTCATCTGACTGGAATCATGTCCTCCATTTGCCTCTTTTCTACTGCTGTAAGCTTCATAAAAAAGACGACTCATTGTCTGTTGCTCAATGTAGTTTTCTGTTGTTTTCTTTGAAGGTGCTTACTATGGAGGGAAGTAAGACTCAAGATGGAATTCGCCAACAAGAGACAGAAAAAATGCAAAGCAGTGGAAGAGGGCACACAGATACTGAGGAAAGAGGTCTGAAGTCATTTTGATTTGAAGAAGTTTACTTTTGCTTGACACAAATGGTTGTATTTGTAAATGCTTGTAAATAAGTTGTCATTTAATAATATGTCAATAACTCAATTTTGGCAAAAATGTCAGATAGCACCTTATAATTTTAAGGTAAAGACTTTTTAATACTTATAGTAAAGTGTTTATACATTGTGTCTAATACTGAGCTTTTCTTTACATACATACACCATGGGAATACCATGTTTTTGAACATTTCTATTTTATACCATATTTCTAGACGGGTACCATGGTAATACCTTGTTTTGGGACATGGTATCAGTATCATTCCTACAGTTTTTCAACCTACAACGTGGCAATATTGTGTTTTCCCAACTTGTTTCAAAGTGGTCTCTTGTTTTTCGAAATGTTTCATAGTAATACCTTGTTTTGTAATGCTTTCTTTAAGTACCTTAGGGTTTGTGTTAAAGTTGTTTAATGTGTCTTTATTTTGACTTGAGTAAATCTAATCAGTTAAGAGTAGGGGTGCCCACATTTTTTTGTATGAGAGGCCCAAAATAAATATCTTTAAGAACCATGGGCCGATAAACATAGCAAACTATTTAACATTAAAGTTGCTGTGGTTAATTTCCTAATTAATTTCATAAATATTTATAAATAAATGAAAACATATTAATGGAAATCGTATTAATTATTAAATTTCTTAATTATAACTTTAAATTAAATAACATTTATCACAAGTGGCAAAATCTGCGTTAGCCTTGATTTGCTCACCAAAGTCTCTGCACTGTCCTCTATCCGTTGGGTGACAGTATGTAAATTTTAAACTAAATCTGATTAGTTTACACCATTGAAATTGAAACATTTAATGTTTCAGAATTGTTTTGTAGCTCAGCAATGAAACAAACCAAAGGTTACATTAAATTTGAAATGACAATCTCCAATCATCCCTATCATCCTCCCTCTCTTCTCTAATGGGATGGGGGGCCAAATCAAAGGTTACCAACCATGGGCCAAATGTGGCCTGTAGGCCCTAGTTTGGGCATCTCTGGTTTAGATTAATTATCACATAATGCACATTAAAGGTTTTTTTCTGTAGTGCACATAAACATCTTAGAATGATTTCGGAGTCACACTTTACAAAAAGGTTTCATTAATGTATTTACTAACGCGTTACTAATATCCAAATTCATGCTTGTTAACTTAATGCACCATGAGTTAGCATTAACTAACAATGAACAACTGTATTTTCATTAATAATCATTGACCACATAAACAAATACTGTAATAAATGTATTGTTCATTCATGTTAGTAAATGCATTAAAAAACATTAATGTAATCTTATTGTAAATTGTTACCAATGCCAGTATAGTATGTTGTGCTACATGTGATTCAATAATTATCATATTTATTTTATGTTGTCCTTCAATAATTGCGCATCTCTGTTCATTCCTTTTTAACCAATCAGTAAAATGAAACTTGCAAGAATTAAAGGATTCATCGTAATTAAAATATGAATTATATTTGAAACACTCCTATTTAAATTAAAATTTCTGTAATATAAATGCTGACTTCATTTTTAATATGCAGTTCATTTTGTTGTAAGATGCAAAAAAAAAAAAATCTGTTTAGTCTCTAGGTGGCGCTATTGCATGTGAATGCAATGAGCTAACTGCACTGGCTTTAACTGACGTTTTCTCACACTAATCATTTTTTTTTATAGCTAATGCATTAGTTTTTATATATTTAATTGGACATTATAATTTATTTAATGTATTAAATGCATAAACATAATTCACACACACATAAGTCACTTTTATTGGTTACTCCACAACTCTAAATCTTTTTTGTTTCACTCAGTATTTCTTTTAACCTAATTTCTTTATATATTATTATATAGACATTAATATTAAATCAGAAATTGCTATGCATTCATTGTTCAACTTCAGAAAAAAGGATTTGTGTAATGACATCAGTTTACTTATCCTGGTTCTAGTGACATTCAAGCCATGTGTAGAATTACAAGCTGCAGAAAGCAAAATATATTTAACTGCTTATAACAATGCATCAATATTTGCTTTGGTAAACCAAGATTTGTATTAATTTGTCACACTATTATGACCTTGATTTAACTTTAAAAGTCACTAAATGAATCATGCATTTTTTGAACGATTTATTAAAATGTAATTATTTATTTAAATATGAACAGTCAAGCCTGAAATACCCAGACAAATTCCGACCAACTTTTTTGTTTAATTGTAAATAAAATGTTAACTCATGTACATGGTCCTATCATCTTTTGGAAGAAGCCTGCTAATTTCTAATCAGAAAAAGCTTGCTGGTTGAATAAAAGTAAGTTTAAAGTATTCTTTAAGTCAGAATTTATAAATTGTTTAGGGCTTAACTGTAAGTTGCAATAAAATGTAATATTTTAGTTTTTTTTGTAAAAATGTACTTTACATTATATTCATTTCTAAACACACACACACTCCAACATTAAGTATTCAAACATGAAACTTCACATTTTGTATATTGAATCTAAAGTGAAAGCAACAAATTCCATTCATGTTAATGTGCCAGAACTGTAAAAAAACTCTTCAGTGGTTAAAAACCTTAATTAATAGATTAGATTTAAATAAATTAATTGTCTTTTATTTATTTAATATCTAATTAACATAAATATTTGATAATAGTGTAATAAGCCGCTATTTAGAGAATAGACAAAATAAGAGTTTTCGGAGAATGTGATGTCTGGGTTTAATAATGCTGTGTTTCTGTCTGTGGTTGTAGAGTTGAGACTGGTGCTGCTGGGTTCAGTGGGTGCTGCGAAAAGCACTGCAGTCAATGCCATCCTGGGCAGCCCGACATCCGAGTGTGAGACGCCCGATGCTGACTGTCAGAAGAGACGTGCAACGCTGGCAGGGCGACAGGTTTGTGCCTCGCTTCAAATACTGAGATGTTGCAGAAATGTTGCACGCACTGACTTTTTGTATATCTTTGCGTAAATAGTTTTTATAAGTGCCATCAAGGCATGTAAGTGATTTAGTTTGTGATTTTGCATTTTAAAACATTTCAGAAAATTGTACTTGTGTGACATTTATATTTAGTGTAATAAGCCATAATAAATTTCTTTCAAATGTAACTGACTGTAATTGGGTTGGTTAATTGGTTTAGAAAAGTGCATTTATAAAACCAAGAACATGTGAGAACACTAGAGAAATTAAATGAATTTTAGTTTTATGGACAATAAAATTTTAGCAGAGGTTATATTTGTCTAAAAACATGGGTTTCAATATTAAAGCTTTGGTTTAAATATGAGAAACGTATTAAAAAAATAAAAATGTACATGTGATCGTTATGTTTACAATAAGGTTAACATTAGTTACAATAGAAAAACTGCTCACTGTTAGTTCATGCTCAACTAATCATTCATTAATCTTACATTTCTTTACCTACTTATGAGCAAATCCAGCGTTATGGATGTGACATTTTCTGGAAAAACTTAAAACATAAACTCACAGAAAAAGTATATGTCAGCATTATATTGAAACATTTTTATATTTTCCAAAAGAACTAACCACAGAGTTATGTGATCAGAAAAATATCAATCTTTAAACGTTTTCTTTGTATTTTAAAATGAGGAAAATAAAATATCGATGTGATCAAAAAAAGTCTTGAGTTTACAGTATACAACATACTGCACAACCCAAGAAACAATGCTCAAAAGAATGAGAGTTGGCTGGCTAGAACAAAAATGACTGATTTTTATTTTATTCTCCATTTTTTGCATTATGGATGTGACATCTCTCTGTTATTGATGTGACAGATGTGAAAATGCCACTTTTGTGACTTTGGTAAATCAAATATAATTTTTTGAAAACACTAACAGACATTTTCGAGTATTTTTGCAGTACTGTAAAAAACAAGCCTACGCAAATGACCTAGAACCGATTTCGCAGTTAATTTTTTCATGACATGGTTGACATTTGCATGGAATTGCTCATATACATTAACTAAATCATAATTAACTTTATTAATTAAATATTTTTATTACTGACATGTTATTAGTATAGTTACATAAGTTACAAAACTTATTAGTTTAACTTCTGATTAGAAAGATCAATAAAAACTGTAACAAATTAATTTTTCATTATTATTACTATAATTATTAACGCATTAACAAATGTTAATTAATGAGGCCTTAAGACTTTTATAGGGATTTTAAAAATATAAAAACTATATATATATATATATATATATATATATATATATATATATATATACACACACACACACAGTGGCCTAATGTCATTTAAATTCATCTAATATTTAATTATATGTTAATATATACATGATAATAAACTATAACTATAATATAGATAAACACCTAGCACGAAAGATGCCACTTGCACTGTTAAAATGACTGCAGTTTGACTTTTTTTTTTTAAATATTTTTTTATTAATTATGGTTCATGCAATTTGGATGCTACACTCAAAAAAATGACATTTGCAGTTTGTTGGAACTACTTATACAACATAAGATGAAATAACACAATTCTTCAGTTTTTTGGACAAGTTAATTGTTTTATGCTTAATCTAGAATATAAAAAACTAATAATGTAACTTAATTCCTTCATGTTGTACCAACACAAATCATTTGTGTGGAAGCCCAGCATTTTTATACAGCGTAGAAAGATGCTTCAAAATTCATTATTATTATTATTAAAATTATTGTTATTAATAATAATTTTATCTTATAATCATTCTACATTTTTATATGCAAATACATATATTAGTACTCTCTTATTTTAAAGTAAATTAAATCCTTGAAAATATTCTTTTGGGCCACCATGCATTGAATAATATACTGACACAACTCTGATGAATAGTAATACTCAATTAAAATAACAATGATAGCCTAATAAGCCTATGGATAAAAAGTCGACCAGGTGGTTACAATGCCTGTTAAAGGGGCGTTTACTGAATTGTATCCAAATAAAATATATCATCATTCCTATTAATACTTTTTTCTTTAAAATCTGTGTCTAAATGGACCTATTAGTGCTCTTGGTAAATTTAAGGGTGATTTTTCTGACTGTTTGTTTTCTTCCCAGGTAGCAGTGGTGGACACACCTGAGCGTCTGTGCGTAGAGCGTCCTGCTGAGGACGTCCGCCGCCAATTTTCGCTCTGTGCTGCTTTATCGGCCCCGGGGCCTCACGCTTTCCTGCTCTGTGTTCCTGTTCACCGGCACAGCAACCTGGAGCTTCAGATTCTGGAGACCATCGAAAAAGTATTCGGCCCTGAAGCTGTGAGCAAACACACAATGGTGCTCTTCACCCACATGGACCAGCTGCCAGAGGATGTTCTTCTTAGCGAGTTTCTCAGTACAGAACGAGTCGATTTATTGGAGCTCGTGCAAAAATGCGGAGAGCGAGAGCATCCTTTGAGGCCAGAGGAGAAAGACAACGTTGAGGAGCTGCTGACGAAGGTGGAACGGATGGTAAAAGAAAGCGGGACACCGTTTTACACATGCCCTCTTTTGCAGGAGGCAGAGAGAAGAGTGAAGGAGAAGGAGGAGGAGATTTCGAGGAGTCGAGGAGAGAGTGATTCTGAGGGAACAAGAGCTGAAGCGGAGAGAAGTGTGGATGATCTCCTGGTGGAGGGAATCACAGAGCTCTGCGTCGCCAAGCCTGAGGACTTGCCATTTATGCGCTGGTTGTGGGACAGTGTGGTCGGGTGGCTTCTGTGGCTGCCGAAAATGGTGAGGGGCAGTACTCTGCTGGGCTCCATTGTGGGGCTGTTCGTCGGGGGGTCTTTAGGAGGGGCCATGGGAGCAACGGTGGGCTCTGTGGCCACAGAGGTGGAGAGAAGGAAAAAGAAATGAGCAACTAAACAGTTTGGTAACAGCTTATTGTATTTTTCATTACATTATAAAATGTTCGCCCCAATAAACAGATCAGTTATTCTTATGCATTCAATTAGCTAGGGTAACACTTTACAGTAAGGTTGCATTAGGTGATATATTTATTAACATGAACAATACATTTATTACAGTATTTATTCATTTTTGTTAACATTAATGAAAACACAGTTGTTTATTGTTAGTTGTTGTTAACTCAGTACATTAACTAATGTTAACTGTTAACAATAACAACTTCAATATGATTTTAGGAATCATTTTTGAATGCTGAAATTAACATTAACAATGCTTGATAAATGCTGTGCAAGTATTTTTTATTCTTAGTTCATGTTAGTAAATACTTTAAGATGAATTAATGAACCTCATTGTAAAGTGTGGTCTAATTAAGTTTTGCATGCTGATAATTAAATAAAATATTTTTTCACCACAAATTATGTTACTATTTTAGAGAAATGCTGAACTGCAACATTGAAATTAAACAGAAATTAAAATTTAAATTGAATTAAAAAAAAATCCAAAACATCATTTATTATTTCAGATTACAATAATGTTTAGAATTGCATATTTTTAGTCTTATTTTGATGTCAATATCAAACAAAATGTATTAAAGTGACTTAGAAAGTGGCTACTTTAACCCTTTTTAAAATTTAAGATATTTTTAAGTAAATTTTGAACTTATCCTGACTTTTATCTACTAAATTATTTTAATAAAAAAGGGAAAATGTATGTATTCATGGTGTCTAACGAGCAAAAGCTTGTGGTTTGAAGGACATTGTCAATTAATTAGTATTTTCTGTAATAATTTTTTTTTAATTCAAGTTTTTTATTGTTTTCTTCATAAAATGATTTTTTAAATAAGTATATTAACAGTAAGTATAAAAACATACATGTACATATATAAACTGTTACAATGATTTTTTAGTCCATATCTTCAGGAAACAATGGCAAAAATGCAGAACATACTTAATTTTTAAACTCAGAAATCTAAATAAATATCAGCAATGCACAAAACAAACCCTTAAACTATTACTTTAGATTTGATACCTGAAAA